TGGAGAAAGTGAAGTACATTTAGTGTAGATTAAATTTAAGGTTTAACACAATTCTTCATTAAATTTATCCAATAGTTTACCTATAGTTTATAATAAAATTATTCTCAAAGAAATACTTTGTTTAGGGTCTGGTTTTAAGAACAACAAGAAAACTAAACACGAAATAGCCTGTTCTCCATTACCTAACTCATGTTGTAATTTCCTCATAGACTTTGTTTCCTTATCTAACAGATGGAGCAGGGGAGGGGTGTTTGATAAGATGAGTAAAATGGCAGTCACATTATGTTCTGGTTAAATATTATTGTGTAACAAACCACTCCAAACATTTATTGACTTAAAACAGCGGTTTATTATTATCTCTCATAGTTCCATGGGTTGACTGAGCTCATTTGGGGGGTTCTCATTTGGTGTCTCCTAGGTTTCAGTCTGTTAGAAGCTGGGGCTGGAGTCTCTGAAGGCTCACTTGGGCTGGATGTTCAGATGACTCACTCACATGCTGGCGGATGCTGCTGCCTGTCAGCAGAATGCTCGGCTGGGGCTGTTGACAGAAACGCCGACAGGACGCACGGCCTCTCCACGTGACTTGGGCCTCTCATAGCATGGCCGCTGAGTTCTGAAAGGAGTGTCCAAGAGGCAGGAAATAGAAGCTGCTAATACTTTTTAGACCTGGGCTTGGAGTTCCCAGAGTGTCACTTTTGCCGCATTCTATTGGTCAAGCAGTTACAAGGGTAACTTCCATCCAGTTTCAAGGGTAGAGAAAACAGACTTCACCCCTTGATGGGGGAATTGTAAGGTCATATTGCAAGCAAGCAAGTGACCATCCTGGGAAACATAATCTATCACACAACAGCTCTAGTTTTTAATGTTTTTCAGTTAATAATTCGACCAGATAAATGTCAGAGTTATTGAGTTCAGTATAAATGGTGAAACTCAATAAGTTATTAAGACAGTATGTAAATTGTGATGCAATGAGTTGCCTTCATCCTGTTATGAAATAAGAAACAATAACTGAGCTTCAGAGATATATCGTGGGATCAGTTTTTACACGTGAACCTCAAATAGATGTTTCATTTATTTAGCAAAATATCTTAGAAGTTAGTTTACCTTTTCAGTAACATGATTAACAGAAGTTATACTTATTATTAGCCTTTAAATGTTCAGTATAATATTTAGCACATTATGATGACTGCATTATCTTTTTATGTGGGAAGTGGGAAATATGCAATGTTTGGTGGGAAATTCAATTTATTGTAAATATGTTATTTTTAAAGATTAACTAGTAATTATAAATGAATTCATTCTCATATCTTTAGAATCTTATAAAGTGAAGTTATGGAATGCCTTCAACTATATCTTTTTTAGATGAAATATATATACACACACATATTATTGGAGGTATGTCTTCTTGGTATGTAAGAACAAATTTGTTGGATTTATTAGAACATAATTGCTCCATGTAGTCAACTGACTAGTGCTGTGGTATTTTAAAATTGATGGGAAGCTACAAGATTCCCACATAACTTTATGTTGTGATAAGGCTGTAGAATGAAATATATAATTGTTCAATGGACATTCATAGTTGCTACATTTTTCTGTCAAAAGAAAAAAATAATGTAACTAAACTCTATGCTGCCTTTTTCCCACATCGTCTCTGTTTTGTTAATCCTTCTGACAAGCTGAGGACATGTTTGTCAGTATATGAAGGGTTGGGACTAGCATTTTTGCTATGAATATGTCAAAATGATTGTGGTTAAAAAACCGGCAGTTTATGGGATAAAGGGTTATTCTCTGAAGTAGTATTTGGAATAGTCTGGGAATTGGGAGTAGAAAGGTCAAGAAGTCTTTTGATGTATTGCAAAGAGAGAGTCGTTTTAAAAAACAAATTGATTTTTAAGGTCTAGATGGGCACTGTGGGAACTGGAGGGCGCAATCATAAAAACGATGAAGTAGGAAATACCTTGGCTCTCACACTCTCTTTTATTCAACTCATTTCTTCTTCCTTTATAAACAAGCTTCAAACTGTAGTGAAGCACTTTCATTGTTATACCATGCATTGGATTGCCCTACACGGGGCATCCTTGGGAATACCTAAAAGCAAGATGCCATGCAGATGCACAAATTCAGAGGTGTCATTACTGTGTCCTGTCTTTGGAAGAAAAGAGAGAAAAACAAACTTATGGGCAACATGGAACAGTTGATAAGAAAAGTTAATCAAATTAAGAGCTTTGATAACAATATTGATGAATTGGTAGAGATGAACATTTCCCAATCAATTTAAATTGGGTTGCATTGGTTAGAAAAGTATTTATCTTTTTTTTAATTTTTAACTTTTTGAGGAGAATATCAAGGTGAATTTTGTATTTTAGTGTACTCAAAAGTGTGTAAATACATTAAAATTTTAAAATTATTATGAGTTTCAATAATAGCTTTATTGACATATAGCTCACGTACCATATAATTCACCTATTTAAAATATACAATTACATGGTTTTTGTATATTCGCAAATTTATGCCACTATCACTACCATCAATTTTAGAACACTTTCATCACCCTTCCTCCCAAACCCACGCCCATTAGCAGTTACTCTCTTCCCCTGCATCCCCACTCCCTACCATAGGCAACCACTGACCTACTTTCTGTCTCTATGGATTTGCCTGTTATGGACATTTCATATAACTCGAGTCAAACAATATTGTCTTTTGTGACTGACTTCTTTCATCTAGCATAAATAACATTTTCAAGGTTCATCTATGTTGAAGGATGTATCAGAACTTCTTCTTTATTACCAAATAATATTCCAATTCCATTGTATAGAAATACTACATTTTAATTATCCATTCATAAGTTAAAGTACATTTGAGTTCTTTCTACTTTTTGGCAAGTATGAATAATACTACCATAAACATTTATGTACAAAATTCTGTACGGACATATGTTTTCAATTCCCTTAGGTATATACCTAGGAATAGAATTGTTGGGTCATATAATAATTACGTTAAATCCTATGTTATTGTTGTTGTGTTCAGATGTAAGGCAGAGACTTCAAAGTTGGGAAGCTGGGTAAGGCAGGTAGCAAGTAATTATTTCTAGGTGCCAATGATATCTAGAGAGGCACTAATAGTTACACACACAGTGATAAATAGAATAAGAGAGCCCATGATAAATGAAGGAAAATTCTGGAACTGAAATTATTTCTGCTGATTAAATCTTAACCTCATGCATCAGCAGGCAGAGTTTTTTTGGGGGGAAGCATGAGAAAAGTATGAAGCTTCTATGTCCACACAAGTATAGGGCAAATGGCAAGACTCACTTAAGAAAACAATTAAGTTCATTTACTCATTTGTTCATTCACACATTCATTTACTCATCTATATATTCTTGAGCACTTATTACATGGCAAGTTTTTTTTCTAGGCAATTAGATACATCATTGAACAGAACAGACAAGTATTCTTGTCCTCATGAAGCTTACATCCTAGCTAACATGGAGATGTGTGTTATGAACTCATTCCTCCAAAATGATGGGTTGGAAAAAAATAACATGGTTTATATAGATTAAGATAAAGATATTTGTGGTAAAAATGAAACAAAATTTAAAAAGCCTCTAGCCAAATATTCAGTCATGTATTAAAAGTTAAAAGTTTCCCATTCAGACTGGCCTGATGGTGCAGTGGTTAAGTGTGCATGTTCTGCTTTGGCGGCCCGAGGTTCGCAGGTTCAGATCCTGGGTGCAGACATGGCACCGCTTGGCAAGCTGTGCTGTGGTAGGCATCCCACATATAAAGTAGAGGAAGATGGGCACGGATGTTAGCTCAGGGCCAGTCTTCCTCAGCAAAAAGAGGAGGATTGGCAGCAGAGTTTAGCTCAGGGCTAATCTTCCTCAAAAAAAAAAAGTGCCCCATTCATGTGACCTTCCCCTGCTAGTCTGCTCCATTCCTCAGTGACATTTGCTTCTATACATTTTATATATCATTATTCCTTGGTTCTGAGAGGTCACCAATTATAAGACGCTCCATTCAAATGATAATATTTTATCAAGAATATATCAATAAAAGAGACACTACCAGTAGTGACCAGACACATCACTGATTGCAAGACGCATTTCAGGGAAAGAATGAGCTTCTTAGATTTTAATAAATGCTGTCTGTGTAACCTGAATAACCTTGTGGTCTTCACCTTCATCCTATGTAGTAGAGGGAAGTCCTGTTCCCTGGCTGGAGTCACTCCAAACTCTTTCTCCATATTTCATTGTTGATCATCTCAAGCCATCTCAGCCTCCTCTCTGTTAGCAACTATGTAGTTAGAGCCTGCTGGCTACTTCCTTCCAGAAGTAATGCCTTCCCAATCGTCTCTTTAGGCTGGCAGCTAGGACTTACCAACTTCCTCCAGAAAGCTCTTTTCCGTCACCTTGGTTTTCTGGGTCTCAGTGCCCCAACTCTTTCTACTTTAATGTAGTGTAAGCCTCTTCTTTGACTCAAGTTTATAATATTCTGGGCCTAGAAAAGTCCAAATGTAGTTAGCTTTTAAAATAGGAGTTTTCCTAATTTCAATGTATTAAGGATTATGTTTATTAAAAAACACAAATGGAATCTTGCTATATATTCTGTTCTAATACACACATATGTATATACACACACACATATATGTGTGTATGTGTGTGTGTTCTGCGAAACAAAATATTATGGGCCTTTACGTTATTCATTTTACTGGATTGTATAGTGTTCTCTTATATGAATAAATGAAACATTAATTATAAATATTTAGGTTGTTTCCATTTTTTTATTGCTACAATAAACATCTTTTACATGCACATATATGTAAAGATGAATATATGTATGTGTGTATGTATCTTTGAGCACTTTGAGTATATTTGTCTGTTAGAAATATAAATAAATTTATTTGTTAAATAAATTCTTAAGGTTGATCTGTTGGGTCAACGAATATAGATATTTAAAATTTGGATATTTTTTGCTAAACTGTCTGCCATATTATCTTGATAGCAATTCCGAAGTCCTATGTGAAAATCATAGAGGAAACTTTTGCAAGATTTATCATGGACACTGAAGAAGATGAAGAAAATATTTTTTGGAATAGTAGCATATTGATTAAATATCATGGTGAGTGGAATAACTTTGGTTTAGTGGCTTGGCACATCAATAAAAGAAAAATGCACTCTATTGGAATAGTTTCCTATATGTCTATGTCTTCTAAGACTAAAGGGATGTCACTGTCATTGGGAAGTATTTGATAGATGCTGATAAAATCTAAATGGTGATTTGGGGCATGCCAGTAACAATCATGAATAGAGATTTAAAGGCTATATTTTAGCCCTATTCTCACTTATTGAACCTATTTTTATTGTATTTGCTGTGATTATAGGTACTTATGCAAAACTTATTCTTAATTCTACTTTTTTTTCTATTTTCAAGTAACTCTCTAAACATGTGGATAATGGCAGAAAATCAGCTTGACACAGATATCTGTGCTTTTGCAGTGCAGCGTACTCATCAAGCTGACTGCTGAATTATTTCATGATAAGATAATTTTCCTTCAAGTCTAATACCACAGAGGTCACGTGGTCTGGAGATATTCATGAAGAAACTGTCACTTTCAGGCTCCTAATATCAGTCACTCTTCTATCTATATTTGGTTTATGGAATCAGGAAAGTGTGATAGTAGTTATTAGCTGCTCTCAGAAAATCCTCTTGCAAGATAGATTTATTTCCTGATTAATGATGGAAATGATCCAGTATTAATTTCAGTTTTTGATATCAACAATTTTATGTTAACATCATTCTTGCTATGTTCACCTTTCAAATTACTATGATCATTCTAATGATTAAAAAGCTATTATTTGATTTAGATTCACTCTGTAATTATCAGCTGTAACATTTTCTGACATTTCTTACTAAATTTGAGTACATGAGGTTGTACTTCAACTAACAAAAGATTTTCCTATAGAAGCTTTTTAACATGCACTCAGGTAAATTTAAAGCATAGAAGACCAGGGAAGTAGTATTAGTCATAAATTCTATCCCATCTGAATCTAATTTTTGGTAGGTGCAGTGGAATTTGTTTTATTGCTTTTTTACACTTGAAATTAGGATATCTTATACAATCATTTGTTTGTATTCATAGTTTTCTCAATATTTATTTTATAACAACAAATTGCATTTTCCATTGCTCTATTTTTTAAGTTGCCTTCTTAGAAAATATCTGACCTTTATATTCCTTCTTAGTCATTATGATTAATGAGAGTTACAGCTTTTAATTGCAGCATAAGAAAAATACTATCAGTGCCCGAAGAATGTAACAATTACCTTAATACTTCTCTTTTTTGGACGTGTTCTTATGAAGCAAATCAGTGAAAGCAGCCAACAATTTAAAAACTAGAAAGTACTATACAAGATTTCATATTCCCTTTTGCTTAGTGAATTCTGTAAGTGTGAAAGGCAAATGTTTGTGAAAAATCTTCAAGTATATACAAATCTTTACTTACTGGGTTTTATATGTTTTATATTATATTGCCGGTCTTTTTTGGTAATGCCATAAAATTTGTCTCCAATAAAGTATCTCTTCTCTTTTGGTCATTTTGTTAGGGTGGATTTAATTAAAAAATGCGTTTCTTTTGTTCCAAAAATCTGAAGACGGCAAATAATATGACTGCTTATTAATATCTTTGGGTCATTTGCACTTTACCAATATTTTAATGTTGGGGCTATTTCTTTTGAATTTTCACATTCTGCCTTTAATGCATTAACTATATCATCTACAGTGAATCTTCCTTACGGGAACATCTGGGTTAACATTGATACTTACTCTGCTTTTATATTGGATAATCATTGAATTGAGAATTTGAAAGTTAATTAATGAAGTTCCTTTGAGGTCAGTCTGTGTCTTGTGATTAGATGTCCTTAAAGAAGCAAGGAACTAGATAAGACATTGCAATGGCATTGAAATTTAGGAGCAGAAAATATATTTTGTGAATTTTTTTCTCTAACGGTATTTCTGCACAGCAGCAAATGAGTGTGCCACCAATAATTGCCCTTGGTTTGACTCAATGGGATCAGTGCCACTAGTTGATAACCCCTGAAATGTCCTCTGAATATTACCATGTGAAATCATTTCTTAAGATGGAAACTGGTCTCCATATGAGATCAAAAAACCTTTATTTAAAAAAAAAAGTGTTACATTAAAGAAAATTTTCCATTCAAGAGCAGGAAAGGTCAAACATACTCTGCTATATTCGAACATACGTTTAATCCCTTTATAGATTTCAAAAGAAAGCGAAAATAGTAATTTGGATCACACCATAGAGGACAATTTTTAAAAAATGCTTATTTAGTAAAAACATCATTCAATATTCAGAATTCTCTTTAGAGTTGATTAATTTCTAAAGTTCAGATCCAGTAGACATTATCCATCCTCTTACATTGCACCCAGTTTATTGACTCAAAAGAATGGAATTGGAAATGATTGCAAAAGGTTCATAAACTTTAATAGATGATAAGCTACTTACTGTTAGAGGCAACCCCGAGAATCAGTTTCCAGATTCTCAGCCAAGTGTTCTATTACAAAATGCTGTTTTGACTCCTTCTAACCTATCCCTCACATAAAACTTTCGTGCTTGTTGAACACAGTCCCTGAATTTTGTTTTTAGTCATTATCATCTATTGTTAGAAAATGCATTTAATGTTAAATTCCTCGTGATGCAACCTATGCTCTTTTTCAAAAAACTTTACAAATATTGACAATTAGCATAAACTTAAATATCTTCTTTTAATCTAAGTGATATTCTAATACTTTATGATGCTAAATTTGGGTCACATTGCTTTTATTTTGTGGAATCTTGAAATTAATATGGAAATGTTATTAAATAATTTTAAGTATAAAATATTTTATTCCTCTTTTTCTGTCTTTGTAAAATATGTGTAATATAGGAAATAAACAGCTCCATATATAATGCTTATGGTAACAAATACGTTACATATATGTCTTTTTATTTAATCTCTAGAGCATACTCTGGTTTATGGATTTTTCTTTTTAATTTTGCTGCTTCCCATTGGCAACAATATGTTACAAGTTTTTATTCATTTCAAATAAATTCATTTCATTCCACCAAAATTTTTTCTTAGTCCACACCTCGTACTTTTTCAGGTTAACACTCTATCTAGAAAGCATTCCCCCCACTTTACATAAATCCAATTTCCTTGCCAATTACCACATTAACCTTTACAGAAAACATACCAATATTGGCTCCTCTGATGATTCTTTCCTGTTCTCAGAATCCACGTGCTCCATTTATACCATGTTAATTTGTGCAGCTAGTAATTTGTTTTTGTTTTTGTTTTTCTGTGAGGAAGACTGGCCCTGAGCTAACACCTGTGCCAATCTTCCTCTGTTTTATGTGGGATGTTTTATCTGGGATCCGAACCTGGCGAACTCTGGGCTTCTGAAGCAGAGCGTGCGAACTCAACCACCACGCCACCAGGCGGGCCCCTAGTAATGTTTTTTACGTGCATTCTTTTCTTCAGATCTGAAAGAGTACCTTATCTGGCTTCCATCTTTTCAACTGGATTGTAAACTTTGAATTGAAGAGTCACATCTTTGTATTAGTTTCTCTATTTCATTTCTCCATATCTGTCCTCCTGTTACTTGTTTGGTACTCAAAATGGTTGACTTTTCGGTCTACTAAGTTGTAACTAGGAATTTCTCATTGTAGATCACTGTTTTCTATTCTGTCAACAGACTGTGAATGACAGTTCCAGATTTGGGATAATAGGCTTAGACTAGAAAGTAAACATAATGACGAACTAAAGTGGATTATGTAAAATATCAATAAATAAATATAAAGAAACTCTATAATATCATTTTATTGATATTCACTAAGATACTACAGATTATTTTTTTAAAAAAATGTATGCTACAAAACCTGTACAAAAGCAGTTTATCATTATACACATTCAGCATCGTTAGTTGTACGACTACAGAAATAAAAGGCAATGTGCTGTGCTGGTTCATCAGAGCGCATGAGACCTCAGTTGGAGCTCTTGGCCTTAGTCTCAGGGGTTCCATCCAGGTGAGCCTGGCCCAGTTTGCAGGTGTGACAGGACCAAGTGCCCCTCTTCTTTAACCGGCTCAGTTTCATCAGCTTCTTACCAACTTCAGAAAAGTTGCCCACTCGTTGAGAAAAAAGTCATAATTATCACCATGCAAGTTTTAAATATTTTATATTTTATATTTACATTGATTTCTCTTAAAGGCAGTAGCAAATATTCTTAGACACTATTAAGTCAATTGTAGTCTATTAAACAGTTTGTGGGTACAATTGGCCCAGGTTTGAGATTAATTTTTACTGACATCACCAACAGAATGGTAAGAAAATAATGAATAGTGATTTTACCTAACTTACAATCTAATGGCATAACCACACTGTTTATCACATATTTTATTTATTAAATAATTTATATTCATTTTATAAACAATTAATAGTACATGTTCTATGTAGGATGATCTGTTTGCTTGTGTATGCTTGGAAAATGTTAATATTTAAAATTTAGTATTACTGTTCCTAGGGCATGCATTAAGATGGACCCTTGTTAATTCCCTAAATAATGGCATAGAAGATATTTAAAATAATTAAAACTAAATATAGAATCAAGAAAACTACCTTTAATTTTTATTTTGTTTTGTTTGACAAATGAAAATATTTACATGGGATAAATCCAGATGGTCACTGATTTTTTTTTTCCAGGAAGATTAGCCCTGAGCTAACATCTGCTGTGAATCCTCCTCTTTTCTCTGAGGAAGAGTGACCCTGAGCTAACATCTGTAACTATCTTCCTCTACTTTATATGTGTGACGCCTACCACAACATGGCTTGCCAAGCAGTGCCATGCCCACACCCAGGATCCAAACAGGCGAACCCGGGCCTCCAAAGCGGAACATGTGAACATAACCACTGCACCACTGGGCCAGCCCTTGGTTATTTATTTTTATATAATTAAGAGGAAATAATTTTAATTAAAATTATTTAAATGTATTAGACTCTACAATTAAATTTTTTTTATCTGCCTCATTTGTAATAGATGATCAAAAGAGGGGTATATAATTGGTATCTTAATCTACATATATTTACACATGGGGAGTATAAGAAAAGGAATAGAAACAAGATAAAATATATAAAAATTGTACTTGCTTAAATGATTAGATTTCCCACAAATTGTGGTAGGAAGGGGTAGGTGTTAGACCGCATAGTTAAGGAAACTTTCAGAGCTACACCTTAAACACTTTTTCTTTATCTTCATAGTTCAGTGCTAATGATGATAATGTTGTT